CCCCCAGTCCTTTTGACAGCCGAAACAAATGAAAACATAATTAGGTATTGTCTGTCTTCCAGGAACAGACAGGGGGAGTGGGAAATGGTGTGTAGATCATAATGTTGGAAATTCAACAAGCTAGATCCCCGGAGGAATAAAGATGAAAAGGAGCCTCAGGCACTATGACAGACTAGAGCCATTGGAATGGAGCTTGGACCCCAGGAGAGGCCCGTCTCCATCACTACTGTGTTAGAGCCGTAGCAGGAGGGGCATCCAGTGGATCCCTGACTTAGATTCTGTCTAACCCTGGGGCGCTGGTTTCGGGGAATGGAAGACTTCCCTCAGCCTGAAACCATCCATGTGAAGGGTGTTTATGTAAAGCACCTAGCCCAGTGCTTGGCATAGAGGTGCCTCCCTTCCTTCAGTCCCCTCTGTCCAAGTGGGGAATTCCCATTTGGAAGTTAACGTGTCAAGAGTGTTCCATGGTGCGCAGTACATAGTCAGGACCCTTGCTGTGTTAAAAGGGGCTGTTTTATAAGCCAGGTTGGGAAAAAGTATTGATTATGTGGAAATTTTTTCCTTTGGATCAAGTCAGTGGAGTATTTCTTGGTCATCATAGAGATGTGGAAGTCGATTTGTTACCTGTCATTTGCTGAGTTTGAGCTGGGGTGCGAGTTTCACCTGCCTTTGCATTGCCTTTGGAGGGAAGGGATTGTCGTTGGTTCTCCACGGTCTCCACTCTCCCAGCCTGAAGGTGTAATAGATGTGTGGTGACGATGGAAGGAGGAAGAGCTGTGTTTTAGCTCAGCGGTGCACATGGCTGCCTTCATGCAAGCTTAGATTTTCATTCAGAAGACTAACTTGCTCTCCCCACACATTTCCCTTGTTTACTTAGAGGTTATACTAAATGAGTGGAGAAGAGGCTTATGTGGAAACTATTATTTTCTGTTAGGTATTTCTGTATTCCTTAAGAATTTTTCTAATAAGCACACATTATTTCTATAATTAGAAGAAAACAAAGATAAGCAAAAGCCGTGGAAATATATTATTAGTATAAAAGGTAGTCACAATACATTGATGATTGAATAAAGCCATTTACAGAGTATGGCTTACATAATACCATTTTTGTTTCAGACACGAATATACGAAGAAATAAATAATCTGAAACTAAACAAGTATAAATATTGATAATGGTTTTCTCTGAGAAGTAGAATGGCCCATTTTTTTTTGCAGTTGTAACTAGGAAGGTTAGGGAAGGGGCCAATAAGCAGAGGTCAAGCAGACCTGGGGTTAAGCCCATCTTTACTACTAACTAATTGGGCAACTCTGGGAAAATCACTTAACTTTTGATCCTCAGTGTTGCTGTGTTTAGAAGAGATGGTAATGAATCTGCTGCATAGGGTTAGGTGAGCTAATGCAGGAAGCATGTAGCATTTCGCCTGGCACCTGACACCCAGAGGAGAAGTGTGGTTAGTGTCCAGTAGGTGAGTGAGCCCCTGGCAGTCAGACTCCCAGGCAGAGGCGTGCCCAGAGAGTGGAGGGTGGAGAGTGGGAGCTTTGTTCCGGAGGAAGACTGCAGGAAAGAAGAGTTAATGTGGAGGGAGAGAAAGCGAGGGGTGGGAGTCTCGCTGTGTCTGTGGGGGAGAAATGGGAGCAGGAGGCTCTTCCCGCCTTCCTAAAGAGGAAATAAAGCCTCATTTCATTTGCCTTGCCTTTAACGGGTCTGTCACCAGCTGATTCTGTAATTTTACTCCAGTGTCTAATCAAGTGTTTTACAGTCTAGTTTGGGGGAGTGAAACATGTATATATGTATATACAGAGATAAAGTTTTAAAATAGTGGCTAAATAGATTTTCTTTTAAAGGAAGACTGTTAAGTACTGGAAGCATCTGGGAGGAAGAATTGACTGAGATTGGACAGGTGACCAGGGAAGCTTCTTGCAAGCGTACATTTGATCTGACTCCTGAAAGGGGGGGTGGGTTTTTGGTCTTTCTTTGGAGGGATGCTGTTATTTCCCAGGATTATGTTTCATAGCCTCTCAATCCTGACAGGTGCCCTCGGTAGGGAAGGGTTTAGGGGTGAGCTGAGTTTGCAGAAGCATCATACCCTGTCACCCACTGGGAGGTTAATGCTACCTGTTTACTCACTGAAGTTGTCAGCCCTGCACCGCAACCCAGAAAGCTCAGGGGTTTGGGTGCTGCTAGCCCATTCTTCCAACTCTGTTTTCAGGGATCAGCACTGTCACTTGTCTTTGTGTACACATTTGCAAAGCATTTGGAGATCACTCAGCATATTTACTATATATCTCTTCAAGTTTAGGAGAAAAAAATTGCTCAAACCAGCCCAGGTGGAAAAATAACTAATGAGGATTACACTTGTGGATCTTAGTTTTCATCTTTTATTTTTCTTTCCTCTATTGCTTATTTATTTTGTTTCTGTGAATTCCTTTCTAGAGTGTTTGCATATAATGAAAAAGAATTGTCTTAAAAGTTGAAAATAGAAACATTTTAAAGATGCTGCCATTTTAACAAAGGTATTTTCTTCCCCCTCCCAAGGTGTATTACCCGAATTTGGGATGGATGTGCATTGACGCCACTGATCCAGAGAAGGGGAACTGGCTTCGATATGTGAATTGGGCTTGCTCAGGAGAAGAGCAAAATTTATTTCCACTGGAAATCAACAGGGCTATTTACTATAAAACTTTAAAGGTAAGAGTTAGACTTAGTCTCTGTTCGTTGCACTGCATGCATTTTTGCAAATACTGTCCTTAGTCGTGTCTGACAGCAGTTCTGCAGACCTTGAAAGGATTATATTTGAAAGTGGTTCATCAGCACATTGAAACGTCTGTTTTAAATATCCAGTTGCCACTGCTTCATGTGCATAAGGGCACTAAAGCGCGAAGATTGTGTTAATTCCATGCTGCATCTTTATAGGTACTGATGAGTTAAGCATGTGGCAGCTGCTTTCCTCCTCCTGAGATACAGATGCATTAGGAACTGATGGGCCGACTTATACAACTGTAGGAAAGCACCAGTAGCTATGGTGGTTCTGTGCTGACTGAAAACACAGTCTTGGTCTTCAGTGTAATGTAGCCTTGGATTAGCTTTCCCTAAATTTTATTCAGAATAGGAGTTAAACAGAACATGATTCTTCTGCCAAATATTTATTTGGAGACATTCACTGTTAAGATGGAAAGGAGAGGAAAGTCATTTTTTAGGGTTTGCGGTGAGGTCGAGGTCACTGAGTACATTGGGAAGTTAGTATTAGGAAGTGCCGAGTGTGGCTGCGTTTCTGCAGCAAGCAAGCCTTTTTGTCTCATCGTCTCTCCAAAGGCACATCTGCACTCGTCATGCATGGACATGTTCCCAAAGGCGGAGTCTCAAGGCTCTAAAGATAGATGACTGTTGCTCTGTGGAATAGATATGTTTGCTAAAAATGCTGTAAGGCCAATTTCTCCTTATTCACGGATTCCATTAAAAATGTCATTTTTTTACCCTCACCCGAGGATATTTTTCTATTGCTTTTCAGAGAGAGTGGGGGGGGGGGAGAGAAACACTGATGTGAGAGAGACACATCAACTGGTTGTCCCCCACATGCTCTGACTGGGGCTGGGAATGGAGCCTGCAACCTAGGTCCGTGCCCTTGGCTGGAATTGAACTCGAGACCCTTCAGTCCGCAGACCAACACTCTAACCACTGAGCCAAACTGGCCAGGACAGGAATTCTATTTTTGATGTACTTTCTAACTTAAAACTTATCCAGCCATCTCACTTTCTTTTTGCTGTGCTGTAATAGCATGATTTTCCAGAAGCTATTACTGTACAATTTTGTTACACTGGAATTTGAAATTAGATTCAAAATTTGATTCAAGAATTCATTGTGTTTCTGAGATTTATTTAAAGTGAGAGTTATATCTGGTTGAATCAGTGAGGCAGAATCATGGTAGAGATGAAGTACCAGCAAGGGGATGAGCCTGAGACAATCAAGGGAGTAGAAAGGAGCTTCCCAGGGAGAGGGAGCATTTGGGGGAATGAACTCTGAAGCCAGACTTTGGGTTAGAGCCTAGCTTGCTGTGTGACCCAAGTAAGTCATTGTAACTTAACCAGCTGTATAACCTTAGGCAAGTTACTTTGTGCCTCAGTTCCTTTATTTATAAGATACAGATAATAATAGTATCGACTTAATAGGGCAATGATGGTGATTTCATAGGTGATGACGGGTAGAGCTCTCGGGCCTAGTAAGTGCTGACTCAATGATAGTGGCTTTTTTGGCAAGGTGGTACAGTGTCATGGTTAAGGGTGGGAACTGTAGCAAACTGCCTTGTGAGCGGGTTTTGGCTTCTAGATATGTGACCCCGAGAAGTTCAACTTTCTGTGTCTTAGTTTTTTCATTTGTAAAAGTGGAGGTAATGATAAAATTAATACATACATTTGTTGAGAAGATTAACCAAGGTGCTACGTGTAAGGCTCTGTGAAGCGTTCCTAGTCTAGCCCAAGTCCTCAGAGTTGCTAGCTAGCTACCCTGCTGCTATTATTTACCATCTTCACCTGAAGAGCACTGTTCCAGTCTTTGCGCACCTCCCCAGTCACCTTTGATGCTTGCTCAGGTATGCGCAAGACCTTTCAGATTTCTCAGTAGTGAGGATCTAACTACAGATTAGGCTTTCTGGGGTTAGATTTTGTAAATAAATTACATGTGATGCTCTTCTGGGCTCTGTGTCCTGTTCTCAGCCATCACCCAGATAACTGGAAAATCCCAGCACTGGTTTTGTTTGTGGTATGATTAAAAAGTAGTTTAAATTTCTGAAAGTTAACTGTTAGCCTGCTATCCATTCATTCTTTTCTTCATTAGTTTGACATATTTATTGTCTAGTTTGTACTAGGTAGTCTTCTATAGTAGTGTACAGAACAGGTAAGATCTCTGGTTTCATGGAATTTCCAGTTTATGGGGGAGAAGGCAGATAGTAAGTAAGTGAGTAAGTAAACAGCAGTGTCAGATAATGCTAAGTGCTTTGAAGACGATAAAATGTGAGAGGCTAGGGAGGGAGAGGGCTGCTTTAGCCCTGGTGGGTCAGGGAACACAGACATAATGAACTCCCACTGGCATGTATGACCAGCCACCGAAAGAGCTCTGTGGAAGAGCAGTCAGGAAGAGAGGCCCTGACTGAGGCAGACACCTTGAAGCAGGAATAAGCTAGATTTTTTTTTTTTTTAAGGACTAGAACAAAGGCCATTATGGCTGGAGCAAGGGGAGGAAAGGTAAATGAGTTGGGAGGCAGGCAGGGGCCAGATCAGGTGGGGCCTAGCGGTCAGAAGGGAGAAAGAAGTCAAGTTTTTAGTCTTCACTTCTGTTCACCCATTCAAGAGTTGAGGCTTCTGACCTGTGACTTTTAAAAGGTCATGTTGGGGAATAGATTGTAGGGGGGGGAAGCGTGGACTTGCTTTGTGTGTTCCTGTAATTCTGGAGTTTTATTTTGACCTAGTGTCAGGAGTATCTTTGGAACCCTTGCCTCTTTCTGTCTGGCCTGTTAAAATTTACTGGTGTTTAGAGAGGAGCGTGTGCTTGGTTATGTTAGCCTGTCAGAACCCAGAGGAAAAGCTGGAAGAGTTTAAAGTCTTTCTGTTTTACTGGTTATTTTTTGGTTAAACATCAAAATACAATATATAAAAAAAGTGGTTGCTCAGACTTTTGACGTTATTTTTTTAAATGCAGGTTTATATTCCCTGTTTAAGAACAAAAGTTTTCTTTTATTCTGAAGTTTGACTTAGAAAATGTTAAATGTGCCAAGCAGTACAAAAGAAAAAACTTACGGAAGCAAAGTCATTGATTTAAAAAGAGATTCTTTTCCTCTTCATGAAGGTCTGTTATTTTGTAGCTGTTTTAATATGAAGTTGGGAAGTATATAGTCAATAAGACAGTAATCACTCAGTTGCTGACAATTTTGAAGGTCATTCAGTAGCTAACAAATCACACTGCTTTAATCTAGCTATTTGCCAGCTCATTAGCCATCCAGAGATTTTATATTAGGTTGAGGTAAAACAGATTCTGGGATATTTTTATTTTTTATTTTTTTGTTAATCCTCACCCAAGGATATTTTTTCCATTGATTTTTGGAGAGAGTGGAAGGGAGAGGGGAAGAGGGGGTGGGAGAGAGCAAGCGTGAGAGACATGGATGTGAGAGAGACATCCATGTGAGACACATCGATTGGTTGCTTCCTGCACAGGTTAGGGCAAGGGATTGATCCTGCAACCCAGGAACATGCCCTTGACTGGAAATCGAACCCTTGGCCCTTCAGTACGACAGCTGACGCTCTAACCATTGTGCCACACCAGCCAGGGCTGTTGTGTTTTTATATTGTGTGCTTTGAAGTAAAGAGTTTGTGCTGACAGTAACGTGACCCAGTTGCTAGCACAGGTGGTGCACTCAGAAGCCTGGAGGGGCTTGGCGGCCGAAGCCGAAGCTGAGCCGGGGAGGTACCAGGAAAACGTGCCACGGTGTCTTCACCCAGTGCTCTGGCCACGCTGTTCGGGTTAGGCATAAACTGGGAATACGCTGTTCTCTCCCTTCATGTTCTTTTTAACTTTGGTTTTATTTAAGCCTTAACATAATCCTGTGAACCCTAAATCATTTCAAGTATTTTACGATGCCACCATTTCACAAATATGTCACTTAACAAAAAATAGAGAAGTAAACTATACATTTGGAACTATAAATGGTTTATTTAAATAAAAAAGCCTGTTCCTTCAGCAGAAACAGATGAGCTCATCAGAGTGCCAAAAGATATCTGTAATGGCTATTTTAACTCATTAAAATCTTCTACGTATTAGGTTAGTTTTTTGGGGTTTAGGTTTAACAGACTCAAAAGGGAAAAAATAATACATCGGCTTAAAGATAACAGAATAGCAGGTTTTAACCATCCTTGGGGGGGAATCAAAGGAAACAGTGGCTTGTTTTATTTTAAAGAATTTAGGATATTTAAAAATTTGAACTATATAAAAACTTGAGTTTTGCAGAGAATGAAACAAAATATTTTCTTTGAAGGGCATTGTCTAGAAAGTATGTGGAAGTTAGGAACTATGTTGTTTCTAAGCTGACCTCTTAGGTGGAATTCCCTCTGCTCTACAAATAGAGGCTTCCTCTTCCGTAACCCATGGTGCAGGGATCAGAATCAGGGTGCTGATGAGGTGGTAGGTAGGCTATTAGCTAATCCATTCAGATTCCGTCAGTGGTTCCAATCTTGTCCTTACAGGGAAAGAAAACTCAGTTGCATTCAGTTATAATGTCTTTTATCAGTCTCCTTAGTTTGGACAGTACCTCGGTCTCTGTTTTTATACCCTTTAGTTTTGCCAGACCTGGCCAGTTACTTAGTAGGATGCCCCACCGTCTGGGCTTCTGTTGTGTTTCATCACGATTGGATCACATTCACTCGAGCGGGGCGGCATCTCCAGAGGCGCTGCCGTGTGCTTTCCCGTGCACGGTGTGGAGGCGCCTAGGCTAAGCTCATCACAAAGATGCCCCTCTTCCCTTTCTGATAAGTAAATGTTTTGGGGGGAGGTATTTTGAGACTTTGCAAATATTCTGTTACTCCTCAAAATTGTACCTACAAGTTTTAGCATCCGCTGATGATTCTTGCCTGAGTCAGTTATTACTGTCATACTTGCTAATTCCATCTTTTTTTTAAACTGAATGTATTGGTTGCATTGGTTAATAAAATCATGTGGGTTTCAGGCGTGCAGCCCTGTCATGCATCTGTATATTGCCCTCCAAAGGCTAGTCTCCCTCCGGCACCATTTACCCCGTTTGCCCGCCTCTTGTTTCTTTTTGGTAGTTGGGGCCCGCCTTAAGGAAGGGCTTTCCTAATTCACCCACCCGTCCCCGTGTCGGCGGACTCCTCGGCCCTCGTGTCATTCCAGGCTGTCAGGTGGACGCGCCAGTGCCGTCCTCGGAGAAGCGTTTGAACAGATGTCCGTAGATCCATTTCTGACACTCCCGGGGAGCGGGATCTTTTCCGGGCTCGCTGGGTGCGAGGGGCGTGGGCGAGGCGCCCTCACTGCCGCGGGCTGAGGATCGCTCCGCAGGCGCACAGCCCGCCACCGAGGCGCCTTAGACGGTCCCTAACTCGCGGCGGCC